ATTCCTGAGGATGGCATTCCCTCAATAGTAGGACCCTCAGCAAGTGTTTTCTCCAAGATTTTGCTGAACAGGCAGTCAGAGAGATATCCAGGCCCTGAGCCATGTAGAGCTTCAAGGTGACAATCAGCACCTTGAATTGCAACTGAGAGCTAGCTGGAAGCTAGCATAGCTCCTATAGTAGTGATATTGCCTGGGCAAATCTCAGTACATTGATAATTATCCAGGTTGCTGTTCTTCCAACTTTTCTTTCGTGTAAGGGGCTTCCATGCAATCTTCATTTTATTGGCTTGGAGAGGAAACCAATAAAATTACTTCATCCCCTGTCTGGAATTCCCTAAGACTGGTCTTTTGATCTGGTGAGCATTTTTCCCACCAATCTCATCACTGCCATGATGTTTAAAATATCCTGGACTATACCTGCCTCTGGTTCTTTGAATCAGTCCGCCCAACTATTTCTTAGCCAGGATAGAAGGCCCCCACCTTCCTTCCAAGCATCAGATCAAAAGGTGAAATACTCATGGTTTCTTGAGGCGCTTCACAGTTGACAAACCATTGTAAATGGTCATACCAGTCATCTACGTTTTGTGCCAAATAAATCTTTATTGCAATTTTTAAAGTTCCATTGAATCTATTGGATAGTATCTGTGGTTTGTATCAGTTTGTAATTCATGTTTAAAATCCTCTGACAACTCACAGAACTGGACTGGTGGCCATGGTGAAGTTGTCAGTATAAAGGGAGAGATTTCTGACTTCTTCCATATATCAATTATTCCTTTTTGATCTGCCCTGTAATATACAATGCAAATGATCTGCAAGCTCTAGTAATGAACATCAAGGAACACAGTGAAAAAATGGGACTAAAATTAAATATAAAGAAGAGCAAACTCATGACAATAGGTACAGCAACCAGCCTTAACACTGACAGTGAAAATATTAAAGTGGTGGATAGTTTCTTCCTTTTAGGATCAACCATCAACAGTAAAGGAACAAGAAGTCAAGAAATACGCTGCAGATGAGCACTTGGTAGAACAGACATGAAGGCCTTAGAAAAAATATTCAGGTGCTATGATGTGTCTATATCTATAAATATCAGAAGTATGCAGGCCATGATATTCCCTGTAGGGAAGGGAAAGTTGGACTTTGAAGAAGCAGGATAGGAAGAGTATTGACACTTTTGAACTTTGGTGTTGGAGAAGACTCCTGAGAATACTGTGGTCAGCCAAGAAAACGAAAAAATGGATCCTTGAACAAATCAACCCAGAGTTCTCACTTGAAGCACATACGACCAGGCTCAAATTATCCTATTTCAGACACATTATATGAAGACCTAGCTCTGTGGAGAAGGCTTTAATGATGGGAAAGGTAGAAGAAAAGAGAAAAAGTGGATGATCAGCAGCAAGGTGGATAGACTTGATTACAGCGGCAATGGGTACAATGTCGGAAGGCTGAAGGGCCAGGTTGGAGACATCTTCCTGGAGAAGAGCTATGAATGCTGAGTTGACACAGACTTGATGGCACATAGCAATCAATCATGGTGTGCTAAATTGGCTTCAGAACCAGTCTTAAATCGTATATGTTCCTGCCTTTTCTGCTTCTTATTCCTTTTATTTTGAGCACTGGTTAAAACACCCACTTGTAAATCAGGTCCCATTATATCTCTTCCACAACTTCCACCTCATGTAACCCTATCATATTTCTCCATGTTATAAATAATCAAACCATGGAATTACTTTTACATAACTAGAACCACCTTTATTAAAAACATACCAGCAGCAGTATCTACCGCAACCAATCAATGGTTTCTGACCAACTTTCACTGCTCCTCTTAAGGAACCATTTACTCTTCAACATTAGTAATAAGAAACATATGCCTTTGAACATTGCTCTCATTCTTCAATTTAGAAGTTATTTCTTTTTCATTTCTGGTTTGTTTTCATCGGAGCTTTCCCTCAAGTAACAGCTTTGATATGACTTTTTTTCTCCACTAAAGAAACTGGTTATATTACCTTATTTTTTCTTTAACCACTGTTTTGGCCATTTCCCCTTTCCAGTAAGTTTACATATTTTCTTAAGGCTTACTGATTTCTTTGTGATACCCTCATAATTCAATCTTTCTTTCACCTATTAATTTAATATGGGGATTCTTCATTCAAAATGAATTAATCTGCTGTCTCTGCCTGTCTGCCCTGTGTCTAGAATAAGGTCTTTGACTTTCTACTTCATCTCCTGAGGCAGCTAAGCCCACCTGTTCTATCATCTTTAGGGAATTCACCTTAACCCCTTCAGTCCATTTTTTTAACAACTGATGGGTTTTCTCAGATTAGATGTAAGATGTTAACGTTTCCTCTAAAGAAATCAGGATCCATTTTAAATTGCTTATAAACTGATTGTTTGAATACCGAAGAGTCTGCTTGTTCCTTCTGAATTTCCTTACATATTTTGTTAACTTCTCATGGAACCAATTTCATAAACTCCTTTTCTTGAACTTTTTCTTAGCAGCTCTTTCAACACTATTCAGGAAATTATGAGGTAGTCTTTAGGAGTGGTTTTAATAGGAAGTTTTACTTCTAATTGAAATGTTTCCCTCTCATGTCTCTTTCTCTTGCTCCTTCACCTTTTCCATTTTTGTTGAAGAGGTCTGACTGGCTGTTGCTATGCCGGTTCTCCTTCATATATTCCAAATATTTCCCTTTGGGTTGTACTGGTTCCCCATCCCACTTTCCATACACTTTCAACAGTGTTGCTTGTTTGGTGAAAAGCCTCATCTCATTTGTGTTCACACTGTGAGGAAGGAAGCCTCACATTCCAGCTGCCTTGGTCATTCTCCAAGATTTGGCCTCCATAACTGTCTGTTAGCTTTTATGTCAAGAACCTGTTTTCTGTCCCTGTCATTTCCAATTATAGCCTCTCCAACAAGTTTTCTATCACAAATTGTTTGATTATTCTGTTTCTCCACTGAGCTCTTCTTCTGGGTCACTAACATCTAGTGCAGTGCTTCCCAAACGTTTTCCTTCATTACCCCAAAACCTAACTTTGAACGGTCACTGAATGAATGGTTGTAACTCAAGGACTACCCATATTATGAAAAGAATATCATCAAATGATCTTTGTCATTTCAACAAATTACTGTTGGTAATTTCATTGATTTTTGTCTTAATAGGAATACTTTGGGAGATTTTTGAATATATTTTAGTACATGTAGCTATCTTTAAGTCACGTGAAATGTCCCTGTTGTGAATGGGTAATGGGTTCACGTGTCATTACCCAAAGAAAAAACACTTTTACCCAAATTTGGGTAATTTACCTAGGTTTGGGAAGCACTGATCTAGTTAACAGCTCAAAACCTCCCTGCAGTTGTCACCCCATGTTGCATATCCTTTTTTCTGGCTCACTTTTTCTTATTTTTCTTTCTGACTTCAAAAATTAAAGCTGAATCCCCTTAGCCAGGGATTTCTCTAAAGGATCTGTTGGTTTTGCTGCTATCACCAATCCCTTTACTTGGAAACAGTTTTGTTTTTCAGTATGGAATACGTTCAGGTGGAGTATGGGGAAGAGATAGAACAGAAGCGTTGGTTTTTCATGCTGAAACCAAGGAATTGGACTTTTATTAAATAATTTAAAATGGGTTTGTGCTTTATGTTTTTTGTAATGGCTTTAAATACTTCTGAAATGCGGCCATTAGCCTGCCACTCAGTGCGAGGCCCTTGATCTGAAAAAAGTTATGCAATCCTGCTCCAGGGTAGTATTTAGTACCACAATTGCACTAAAATGTTTCTCAGTTTCTTCTGAATTTTTTTTCCTTTTCCTTTCAGGGTATTGTACAGCAGTTCCTGGTGCTCCTGACCACCAGTTCTGATGAAAGCCTCCGATTTCTTAGCTTTAGACTGGATTTCAATGAACACTATAAAGCCAGAGAACCGAGGCTTCGGGTATCTATGGGCACTAGAGGGCGGCGTAATTCACACACATAATTTTCTTCTGCAGCAAACATAACCAGGATCACTCAAAGTGTAACTGTTGTGGGATGTGGCAGTGATGGTTGACAGTCTGAAACCAAATGGCATGCAGTAGTGTTTGTCATTCTTGCAAGCAACCTGTTGTCAGTCATGTGGTTGTGCAACACCAGTAGAGAAAGCAAGACAATTTTCTTTCTGTATTTAATAAGTGATACGACTAAATGGGTTTAAATTGTTCCAATTTTGTTAAGATACTGAAAAATCACTATATTTTGTTTGGAGTTCCTGAGGCACTTTCCACTGTAATTTTATATTTGACTTTAGGACATCATTTCCACTTACAGTAAGCACCATTTTCAGGTTTCCATTTGAATTTGGAAACCAGTTTTGTGAAAATTTGCCACATTAGATATTGGTCATGAAATATGTATCCAAGGTGTTCTGTTTGTTTGTTTTTAGTATTGTGGGGAAAATATGTCACTTAAAATTACTTACATTAATATTTTCAGCATTTTCAAAGCAATGATTTATTTTTCCAGAAAATTTTTAACTGCTTATACAGAAACATATTAGAAACATAACATACACAGATATCCTAAAATAAAATTAAGAATTCAGTGCTCTCAAGTAATTAAACTTGTAAATATGAAATAGATGTGAATGAAGTATTTTGTGTTCAAATCGGATGTATTCAAAATTAATTTGGATATTGAAGACTACTTATTTCTCTTTCCTTGCCTATTTTTTCATTGTAAATATTTATATATTGCTGTCCAAATATTACAGGGAAACATTTTTGTAAAGAAGCCACTATATATCAAGTCATTCAATTATCCATTTGTTATATTCACAGGTAAAATCTTAGAAAATAAACACAATTATCTTTCAAACATTTTATCTGTTTCTTCTAACTGGAAAAGTGCCTGTTCTTGAAAAGAAATAATTATACAATAAAATTAGTTTTGAATCTATAGGTCCTTCCTTTCTTTACCTTGCCTGATAGCCTTTCAGAGTACATAATTCAGTTTACATGATCAGATGGTTCGGGCCAATTTGCCAATAGTCTGCCAGGGTTTTCAGATCAATGGACAGCTTGCTCCTGACCACTGACCTCCTCTTGCATTATGTCTCAAACATGGAAAGGCCTGACTCCAGATTCAACTCATACTGACACCTCTATATGGGTTTCCTAGCTGGGATTCTTAGACCAAGTTCATGAAGCATTTCGGTATCACAGGCTATAGAGCCAAGAGTGTCTCTCATTATTTCTGGAGCGTGGATACTTTTTAAATGGAAAAGGCCAAAAACCAAATCTCCATATTCTTCCCTATATTTCCAATTCCTTTTCAACTCACATGTATCAGATGTCAACATCCATCTTTTGTTTCAACATAGCGTTTCAATGAACTTACTGCTTGAAATATTCAATATATGTGCAGTTTTGCTTCGGCTTACACGTCACAAAAAGTTTGTAATTGCAGAATGTCTTATACTAGTTAGGCCCGCTTTTTCAAATTAGGAATTTGAAAAATGCCAGATAAAGAATTTGAGCAAATATTACTGTTAAATTAACTTGCGCTTTAATTGGGCAAATCCAAGAAGCTAGATTAGCAACTCCTACAACCCAATATCAAACCTACTTTTATTATTCCTAAGCATGATTGCAATATGATTGCTTCAGCATACTACAGGGTTTCGTCATGATTAATCTTGGTAAAAAGATTTGGACTAAATACTTCTCGACATTGATCAGATAGAATAAACAACTCCTTGCTATTCACTTGCTTTTCTAGTCAGAGTATGAATCTGTACTAGAACCACATTTGTGATGCTGAAAACATGCACATTCTGTGCCATCAAAGTGGGACATTTTTGATTCATCAATATTTTTGCTCATGTCTAAAGCAATGAAAACATCTGATGAAGAATCATGAACCTGATTCGAATTGTAACATTGATGCTTAGATAAATGAGTGGTGTGTGCTCTTTTGGGTTCTGTGGATTTGGGACTGTTCCTGGAGGATATACGATGGTCTGATTTTTTTCTGTGAGAAATACTATCTTTCTCTTGATGTCTTTCATAGTCCTGATTCCTGGATGTACTATATTGTTCTAGACTGTTATAGGAAGTGTTATTCAATTTGAAAGCTCTAGATTGTAGTTTGAAATTCTTATGTGTACTGTAATTAGGGGATTCCTCAAATGATTCAACATGGGGAATTAAGTCTGTTTGTTTTCCTGGGCAGCTAGGAGAGGAAACAGACTGAATCTCTAAAGGCTTTGTAACATCTTCACCATCTGTTGAAAGAAAAATTGCTGGTGGTGAACAGTTGTTGTTGTTGTGATTTTCTATCTCAACAGTGTTGTACTCTGGTGTTTTTGGCTGAAGTGGTATGATTTTGTTTTTGTCTGATTCCTCAGATCCTTCATGTTTGTTTGATTCTTCATTTTTGATCAATTCTTCCTTCTTGTCAGATTCTTCCTTCTTGTCAGATTCTTCCTTCTTGTCAGTGTTAGCATTTGCCATAATTGGTTCCCTAAAATGATAACAGAATGATTTTAAACAAAACATTATTTATAAATAATGCTTAATATCAAATAATAACTTGGGAACAACATCAGCTAAAAGACCAATCTTGAACAGATTACAAGTGATGAAACATTATCTTTCCCTCTGACTTTTCTAAGAAAGGGAGGGAATCTTTAATCAAGTTGCCATTTTTCTTATTCATTCCATTTCATTATCAACCGTAAGCGGGGGGTGTTGCACATGAAAGATTCTTAGCTGGCAGAAGGATATTAGCAACATATTTTGAAGGCTGCATTTGAATGTAAGAATTACATCATGGATGGATAAACATTTAATAAGCCCGCGCAAAATACTTATTTCTACTTCCTGCTTCTCGAGAAGACTAGAACAGGGTTTTTACACTTAACATCTCTATGAAATTTAGGCCAGGAGACGGCTCAAGGCCCTGGAAGGGAACATGATGACTGAATTGGGATGTCCATCCTTCTGCAGGATATTCAACCTCAACATCTGATTCTTAAATGGCTAAGTTGCATTTGATTGGCAGTCTGTACTACTGCAACAATTAGACCCAACATATTATATCTGTGCTTAAAATATATAAATAGTAAGGATTAGGATGGGAGTTGTTACGATACAGAGATATAGTGATGGGAGGGGAGAAGAGAATGAAACAATAACTTACTGCTTCTTCACAAACAATGAATTGTATATGTGCACAAGGACTATTACTGCTAAGATCAAGCTAGAAACAGCTACACAGGCAACGATGATGTGCTTTAGTAGTTCTTTAAGGTCTGCAGCCTTTGCTCTTTTTTTGTCCTGAATACCTAAAGGGACATAATAGATGACACAGAATAGTATCATATTTCCATAATGTAACAGTGCCCCATCTTAACTGCTGCTGTAATTCATTGCAGAAAACTTGCTGATATATTTAAGCATTTCAAGTCAGACCACTCATCTGATTCACTTCATGTATAGCAATGTGCCATATGGTATTAGTTCTCTGCTTTGTGACTCTCGCTTACTGACTGGTCATTCAGCAACTGTTCAAAGTTACAACAGTGCTGAAAAAGATTTACAACCAGTCCTTGAGCTTACAGCTGTACATTTGCGACCTTCACAGCTGGCTTCCAACAAACAAAGTCAATGGGGAAGTCACGGTCATGTGACGTCGCGCTTAACAACTGTGGGTGATTCACTTCACGACCGCAGCCAGAAATGACGTTGTAAGTTGGGTGCAGTCACATGATGTTTTTTACGACCATGTCACTTAGCAATGGAGTTGCCGGTCCCAATTGCAGTCAGTGAGGACTGAGGTGTATCTAAGGCTGAAGTATATCTAAGATTTACCCCCAAACATCTGTCTCTTTTCCCTAAATCAGTCACTTCAGTGCTCATTGAGATGTTCTTCCAAGATTATTTTAAAAGCTTGGACCCTAAATAGCAGCATTAAAGTACCATATAATTCAAAAGTAAGCTTTGCTACTTATCTCCACAACAGTAACAGGTTCATTGCTAAACCAATCAATAGTTCCTCCAGCAAAACACCATAATTTCTTTGTAGCCTCACTTGAGAAATGCTCTAAAGAGATGCTTCTTTTACTATCTGAAGCCAAAAAAAATCTCGTCATTTGGAAAGAATGAATGCCGTCCTCTGTAGGACTGGGTTTTACTGAACCTTTCTAAGATTAATTCTTTAGCTGGAACATCTTTTCCAGATCACAATTTGAAAAGAGATGGGGAAGGGAAGAGAATCAGAATTCCGATGCTCATCTCAGTTGTTATGTGAGCGTTATCAAGCTCAGAAGCTTATTCCAAAGTTTGAGCCAAAGCTTAAGCCAGCATGCATAATGAATTATAATGTAATCATGGCAGTGCCAATAAGGTTGAACAACTGTGGTATTCTGAGAAAGAGTTCAGAGAGGCCTCCTACAAACAACGGTCCATCTTTTGTTATTTACCATGCACAATTTACTATAAGAAGGAGCTCTTCTTCCACCTTTCATTTGACAGTACACCATTGAATATTTGGATATTAATGAAAAATGTGTATAAACAAGGATTAAGAGACTGTTGGATTTTAGATCCTTACACATTCCACATTTTTAATCTGACATTTATGCTTAAATTTAAATATAGTATGATTTGATTTCTGTTGAAACTGAAGAAAAGCTTTAAATGTCTTTCATTGGCTTTAGTCCTGCTTCTCACATTTAATGTAGCAGGTATCTAACAGATTTAAATTCCTGGTTAATTATCACTTTTCAGGTTGCACCACGTCCTTCAATACAACTAATTAACAGAGAAGGTTTGAGTTGAGAAGTTGTACAGAATGTAAACAGAGCTTGCATGATTTCTGTATGCGGGAACTTTTTCATATTCAGATAATACAAAATGCCACAACTGTTGACTGTGGAAACATCATCCAGGTAGCTAGCAGCGCTCACTTGTGAATTTCAATCTGTTGTCTTCAGCCTTCTAAAAATGAGTAAGACTACATGGTATACGGCTGATGCTAAGAGCAACTTCACTGGCATCTTACACATGCATGCCTTATCTGCTTTTCACAATACGTACTTTTTTCTTCATGGTAAAAGTTTGCTCCAGCACAAGATGGAGAGAAAAATGTTTTAAATTATATGCTAGGGTTATGCTTCTATCACCTCTCTGGCTCTTCACAAAAGCTTTTTGCAATTACCGTGTGATTTTTACTTTAGCAATACCACTAGGTGATGCAAAACTGCTGGATTACATGTGGTTTACAATGTCTCATCTCTTTGCCCTTTTGTCAATATCTCTCCCCTTTATCCCCAAACAGATTTCCTCCCATTCTTGATCAATCCTCCTCTTCTTCCTCCTGAAGTGAAGGTGCAGTCACAATGGAGAACAAAGCTTCCCTCCCAACCTAAAAAATCCATTTTCACGGTATTCATTTTTATCCTCCAAGTAAAGGTAGTTAGGAGGTACCCTGCTATTCTTAAAGCTGTGTGTTCTGACTCCCCATATTTCCAAACCTGACGGCTGAAGCGCCAGGGGATGCAGGCTTCATCTTGAATTTGGATATTCCATGAGTATTTGGCTTCAGATCCAAGCAACAGAAGCCCAGAGAAACCAGCACACACAAAAGCTGGGCATATATTCACTACATCTGGCATGCAGGAGCAATGCCCCAAAGCTTGCCAGCCCTTAAGCCTTTGAATGGTACAGCCACATTGCTCTGGCATCCAAAAACCAGCATTTACACTGGGGGTTGCAGCTTTTATCTCATGACAAAAAATACTAATGCTATTAAAAATCTGTTTTCACTAGAGGCTGGCTATATAGATGAAATATTTCTGTTTTGACTAAGCCATTTTTGCCACATATTTTAGTTTTAACTAGGCTGTGAACAGAGTTCCTGGTCTTATTATTCATTAATGTCTGATACAGCAGTACACTGCTCTACTTATCTGCTGCTTTATTTATCACATCAAGTTCTGCTAATGGATAATGATCTGAAAGGTAAAACTCTACTGCTCAGTTACAAATCTTCATATAATTTGTTTCTGTCTTGTACAATGAATTTTGAAACTACAGCCCTGCCATGGGTTTACAAAATTAAAAAGTAAAGAAAGCAGTACCTTTACGTTGTTATCTGCATATTGTTATCGGGTGCTTTGCATGTCGTGTTTTATTAGAGGTTTAAACTTTGGCTTAAGGAACCCAATAACAACAACAAAACAAACCCTGCCTTGTTAATTTTGTAATTGAGGTCTAGGCAAACAAATTGCCACAGCCATAGAAAAATGTTTGTTCTCTTTCAGCTGAACACACACAAAATAGGTTTTAGCAGAACAAACCCAACATAAAAGCATAAATCAAGTGTTTAAAAATAGAATGGGGATAGCTGCAGTTTGCTATGTCAATGAACACAGGACAACAGAGCTGAAATTATACCCCTGATATATTAGGTAATACTCTTTTTCACTGAACTGCAGAGCGCAGAAGATACACAGGGAACATTATTCCTTTTAACTCTGTGTAAGCTTACTTTACCTAAAAGCTTATTTTATTTACCTTCATACTTCTCAAAAAATTCAAATCTTCTGGCGTCCTTCACATCTTCATTTGTCACTTCGGTTCTTATATCTAAAAATCAAAAGGTAACAGTAATATTTTGTGCTATTGGTTTTTAGGTGACAAGATAAAAACATTTTATTTCATTCCAAAGAGCCTTTTAAAATAAGTATGCTAATTTGGGGTTTGTTGTGTGCTCTTTATTACACAGGGTTTGTTTTTTTTTACATCTATCTATTATTTCACTTTTTAAAAAGCATCATGTTCATGCTCTGATATTGTGAGTGGGCTAGAGGGTGTCATCAGCCATTAAGAAGGGATAAAAAGAGTCAAAGAGATGGGATTCTCCTGTCTTGGCTAGCAGGTAACCTTCCCAGTTCAGGGAATCATTGGGTTGTTTGTATATTCACACAGTTCTGTCGATGAATATTCACTATACAATAGTTCTCATAAGGTGGGATAATAATACATGCATCCTAGGCTTGCTAAGTGTTAATCTATTTTAACCAATGAATTCAATTTTTGATATAGCAGGTGGAGAGAGAGATCTGGTTTTGCAAGTCAGTTGTCTTCATTAGAACACATTAATTGCAAGTAGGAGTTCTCCACAATATAACCACAAGTTTCAGTTGCAGACTGAAGTCTTTTAATGTTAAGAAGCAAGAGATGCTTAAAAATATATGCTATATTTCATAATGTCAGGAGGTTCTATATAATTCTACATAAAGAGGAAAGGGTTTTGGTATCTTAAAATAACAACATGGCTTGTCAGCCAAATAATTGCCTAAAACAATGTTTTTCTACTTGGAGTATGATAGGAGGATATGTTCAAAATTGGTTTTAAGGTGTTTTTTTATAATTATATAACTATTGCTTTAAACATTTATCCTACACTTTAAGCTTCCATAATTCATCAACAAGGAGACTGTAGATTCTGGAGGCTGGTGCTTTGCTATGTGGCATGCTAGCTTCCATTTTTTTTTTCCATCAAAAGAAACACATAAGTAAAAATGTATTTAAAAATCAGGAAGGTAATAAACTTGGTGGCCTCAAGGGTTAGGGTTATGGAACCCCAGTGCTAGACTGATTTGATAGGTAAAAAGGCGTTTGATAGTACAGTACAATTAGTACATAGGTCTTGATCAGTGCAGATAATGAATCCCATGAAATGATTACATTATTCAAATTCACACTATTCAAAGTGATATTTCTATGGAAAATATGGTAATTGGTTCC